GGCATTGGATACTTGATTTATTGAAAGAGCTTTATAAGTTTAAATTCATAAATGAAATCCAGTGAGTAAAGCTTTTTTTTTTTTTTTTTTTTTTTGGTGAGGCTCAGTCACTCGTTATGATCATGAAAATGATGGATGTGTAATTGGTGATATCAAAAGATCTGGAAGGACAATAATAGTGGCATTGATTCAGTTAAAGCAAAAGTACAAAACTTTGTAGTCCAAGTAATTACCATAGGGGAATTTAAATTATACTTTTTTTTTAACTTGAAGTTTTGTTAAGGGAAAAATATTGTATTTTACATGAAAAACAGTTTTAAATCCCAAAAATTTGTCAGATCTGGAATTGCTACATGGGCCTAAATAAATTTTTTGGATATAAATGATAACGTTTCTCTTTAAGATGTAAAAAATAATATATATATTTTAACTATGTATATCTGTGTGTGTGTGTATGTGTGTGTATATATATATATATTTTTTGAGACAGAGCGTTACTCTGTCACCCAGGCTGGAGAGCAATGGCAGGATCTCCGCTCATTGCAACCTCTGCCTCCTGGGTTCAAGCGGTTCTGGTGCCTCAGTCTCCGGAGTAGCTGAGATTATACATGCAGGCCACCATGCCCAGCTAATTTTTGTGTATTTTTAGTAGAGAAGGGGTCTCAGGATGTTGTTCAGGCTGGTCTCGAACTCCTGGTCTTAAGCCATCTGACTGACTCATCTTCCCAAAGTGTTAGGATTATAGGCATGAGCCATCGCGCTGGGCCAAAAATACATTTTTAAAGTTAAGACGTAAATGTTTTATAACTTTACACCACCAAAGCGATGTGACATGGTGAAAAATTTAAGCACAATCATAAGAAGCAGATTATTTGCAATCAAATCTGTAACAATCATATTCTAGTCGTGGGATCTTGGGGTGAGGTGCATATGCTCGCTAAGCCTCTGTATTTTTGTAAACAATTATGTGATGATGATAAAAATAGTTCCTAGCTCTAAGGGTTGTTGTAAGGATTAAATGAGTTGGGCCAGGTGGCTCATGCCTGTAATCTCCACTTTTAAGGAGGTAGATGTGGGAGGACAGCTTGAGCCCAGGAATTGGAGACCTGCCTAAGCCATGTAGTGAAACCCTGTTTACCACAAAAAGTTAAAAAAAAAAAAAAAAAGACAAAGAATAAGTGTAAATGAATTGGTAAATAAAAAGCACTTAGGACACTGACAATAGTATGTTTAGTGTGAAACACTTAGCATTACTCATTTATGCCAGGCCCGTAACCCGTAATTGCATCTGACCATCATCCCTGGGTAAGAGCAATCTTTTTGTGTGTGTGTGTGACACTCTTGTGTCTGGAGGGCAGAGGCGTGATCTCGGTTTACTGGAACCTCTGAGTCCCAGGTTTAAGCGATTCTCAGCCTCAGCCTCTCGCGTAGCTGGGATTACAAGCGTGTGCCACCACGCCTGGCTAATTTTTTGTATTTTTAGTAGAGATGGGGTTTCACCATGTAGGCCAGAATGGTCTCCAACTCCTGGCCTAAATCTATCTGCCAGCCTTGGCCTCCAAAATTGCTGGGATTACAGGCATGACACCATGCCCAGACAGCAACATTTTCTAACAGCCACATTTTAGTATTCTAGATTCAGCCAGCAATTGTGTAATCAAATCTTTGTCTATTATGAAGCCATAGGAAAGACCTGTGTCAAGTGCATTTTTTCACACAGTTTTTGCCAGTGGAGACATCTTCATTATTCCTATAGTATCCTATCTTTTTAAAGTTTGTACTCATACTTTGTGTGGTAAATGAAAGGCAAGATCCTTCCCTATCCTTATGAGGATGACTACAGCATGACTGGATAGGCTTGCTATGATTTTTATCTTTCCCTGTGTTCTCACTACCGTTTTATTAATCTCAGTTCTTTTTTACAGGGTAGCACAGAATTTAGCAGAAAGAGATCCAGCCGTGTAGACCAGAGATTTGTCTAAGTGACAGCATGTAAGAATCAGGAAGGAAAATTTTCTGTTTAAATACCAACAGTTTCTTTCCTTAATGCAATTATTATTTTTTAAATCTAACCTACAAGGTGATGGTGTCCTTAAACCAATTAAATCAGAATCTCGGGTTGGATAACCTCAAATATGACTTATTAGCACTTCCCATTAATCACTGGTCTTTCAGGCCTTTAAATTTACTTAGGAATCTCACTTTTAATACCATCTTATCAACTTCAATTGTAAATAAGAAAACACTCAAAGGCTGAGGAATTCTCAGCGGTAAAGCTCTGACCCACGTTCAGTAACAAAGGGTAAGTTAGTCTTTGTTGTGATCATTCTTTGTTGTACTGAGTAGCTACATATTTCTACTCAAGGATTCAAATTCTCACTTTTCTCAAGAATTGGGCCAAAACCGATAAACTAAACTTATTTACGGTTCACGTATTAAAGGTTGTTGCATAAGAAGGTCTTGTGTTCAGCAGTTGGATTTACAGTGCCAGAAACATGTAACAACTGCTTGACTTTCCTCCCCAGCTATACTTCGAAAATTGGCACTTAAATATAACTAACTTTAAAACCTCAACAAGAGTATCGTGGCCATGTGTGGTGGCTCACTCCTGTAATGCCAACACTAGGTATAGGCGAGACAATTATTTGAGGCCAGGATATTGAAACTAGCCTGGGAAACATACGCAGACCTGGTCTTTGGAAAAACAATTAGCGTTGCGTGGTGGCGCGCGCGAGGTTCCAGCTAATCCGGAGGCTACAGTGAGCCATGACACTGCACTACGGTCTGCGCGACACCCCATGTCAGTAAGCCCTGGAACACCTGAAAGAAGCTGTGTTGAGTATTGTATTTACTGGTACTGGAAAGCGATTAGTGACTGATACCTACTTACAGCGACTAGGGAGGGACGCATGCTCCGATAGGGCAAACTCAGCAGGTGCGGACAAACAGTAAAGAGAATCTGGGCAAACAAGCATCACGGCTCCTCAACTGAGAAAGTGGGGGCCCTGAAAAGGGCCTTTTCTTGGTAGACTAGGACGCTTAACCGCCGAAACCGTAGAGGGTGCGACCCTGGCGCTTCAGCGCGTAAACCACATCCATGGCGGTGACCGTCTTGCGCTTGGCGTGCTCCGTGTAGGTCACAGCGTCCCGGATCACGTTCTCCAGGAAGACTTTCAGCACCCCACGGGTCTCCTCGTAGATGAGGCCAGAGATGCGCTTCACGCCGCCGCGGCGAGCAAGGCGCCGGATGGCCGGCTTGGTGATGCCCTGGATGTTGTCACGCAGCACCTTGCGGTGGCGCTTAGCGCCGCCTTTGCCAAGACCCTTCCCGCCTTTGCCGCGGCCAGACATGATGAGCAAGACGAGTCGTACACAACGCCTTGTGAGGACTCTGGCCTGAGGCAGCGCCTTTATAAGACAGTTGGCGGACCGAACTGAGAACCTGAAAGAAGTCGGCGGGAAGTCCCGCCCCGGTGGGGGAGGGGAAATCGAAAGGGCCAAACCGAAATAGGGAAAAAAGGCGAGCTTCTTGTTTCCGTGTTCCGAATTTTGTAATGTGCAACCTGTTTTGTTACCACGTTATAAGGCTTTAAAAAATTGCTTTTGAACGCAGAAGATATACATCAATACTGTGGGGAATACAAGAAACGACAAGAAATTAAGAAAGTACAACCTGTTATCCCATCACACAGAGATCACTAGTGCTAGTTTATAACGTATTTTGCAAAGCAGTTGCACATATTTTTCCAAGAAAATGTATACAGTGTTGTATATGGCGTTTTGTAACCTCCTTATATTGATTACAGTTTAATCAATTTCTATTAAAGAGATAAAATAGTGTCTTTCTTAGGAATTATCAATACAGTTTTAATCAGTTCCCCAGCAATTTTTTAATCCGCTGTATTTTAAGAATAATGTTTTCAACATTCAAAATAAATTTATTTTTTCTCTATGCTTGGGACCAATATTGAAATTTGTATGATTTATTACACCAAACTTTAAATTTTTATTACATTAATATTTAAAACTGAATTAGAGGTCTCATGATTTGGTACTGCTGGTCCCCTCATTATTTCCTTTCCAAATTTCCTAATTTGTTTCACCAAGGTTTCTTGGCAACTTTGGAGACCTTTTGTGAAGTTTGAATAAAAATCTCTTTGAGATTTTGATAATAATTGCGTTAGCGTTAGGACTTATTTGGAATAGAATTAATATCCTTAAAACAAGTTCTTATAACTAGAAAATTAGTGTTTGTAGGTTTTGTGTGTGGGGCGGGCGCTTTTTTTGGGAGGGGGATGGAGTCTTGCTCTGTCGTCAGGCTGGAGAGCAGTGGCGCGATCTAGGTTCACTGCAACCTCCGTCTCCCAGGTTCAAGCAATTCTCATGCCTCGACCTCCGGAGTAGCGCGGCACAGGCATGCGCCACCACGCCCAGCTAATTTTTTTGTATTTTTGGTAGAGACCAGGTTTCACCATGTTGGACAGGATGGTCTTGATCTCTTGACATCGTGATCCGACCGCCTCAGCCTCAGAAAGTGTTGGGATTACAGGCGTGAGCCACCGCGCTTGGACGCTTGTAGGTTTTAAAAAAGACACTTTTACATGACCCAACCAAAGATTTGTTATCAACCATTATGGAACAACTTTGTTTCCGTATATTTAATTTTCTTTCTTAGTAAATACAGGGTTATACTCTGAAATTTTTATTTTTTTTGTAACAGAGTCTTGTCCTTTCACTCAGGCTGGAGTGCAATGGCCCAATCTCAGCTCACTGCAACCTCCACCTCCAGGGTTCAAGTGATTCTCCCACCTTAGTCTCCCGAGTAGCTGGGATTACAGGCACTCACCACCACGCCCGGCTAATTTTTTTGTATCTTTGTGGAGACAGGGTTTCACCATGTTGGTCAGGCTAGTCTTGAACTCCTGATCTCGTGATCCACATACCTTGGCCTCCCAAAGTGCTGGGATTACAGGTGTGAGGTCACTGTGCCCGGCCACTCTGAAATTATTTTAACACCTTTGAAAATTATAAAACTCCTATAACTATTCTAATATAATCTCTTAGTATTCAATTCTTTGTTTACAAAGTAGTTAAGAGCTGAAACTCTGGAATTAGAAAACTTTGGTTTTAGATTAAATGTTTACCTATCAGACTCAAGCTGACTTGTTACTGATCAGACACGAAGTGACTTGTTTATTCTCTTTAAATCTTTGCTCATCTACAAAGTTAGATCAGGATAGTGATGGTACTGTTGGGGTGCAGAATGATTCCCCAAAATGTGGTTCTTGGGCATGCTGAGTGCTTTTGAACACTGAAAGGCCTCAGAAATAAGCTTCAGAATCAAAGCCCCTCTAACCTCGTCTTGTTTCTCTTTCCTATACATGCGAAGGAACTCTGACATTTCCTAATCGAACCAAGAAAATTTCTTAACAAAAGAAACAGAATTGCCTTCTATCCCCTCCCTAGTTATTTCATTATTGCAGAAAAGAAGACTGGATATGGATTTTTCAAGATAATGCCTTCCTCTCCGTCTCATTTAAATTACCAAGACATACTAGATGCCATGGCTCCTCTCCATAATCCCAGCACTGTAGGAGGTCAAGGCAGGTGGATCCCTTGAGCTCAGGAGTTCGAAACCAGCCTGGCCAACATGGTGAATCCCCGTCTCTACAAAGTTTACAAAAAATTAGCCAGGTGGTGGCGCATGCCTGTAATCCCAGCTACTTGGGAGGCTGAGGCAGGAGAATCACTCGAACCTGGAAGGCGGAGGTTGCAGTGAGCCAAGATTGCACCATTGCACTCCAGCCTGAGTAACAAGAGTGAAACTCCATCTAAAAAAAAAAAAAAAAATTAGCCAGGTGTACTGGTGCACACCTGTGTTCGCAGCTACTAAGGAGGCTGAGGTAGGAGGATCACTTGAATCCCAGAGGTAGAGGTTGCAGTGAGTGGAGACTGTGCCACTGCACTCCAGCCTGGGTGATGGAGTAAGACTCCATCTCAAAATAAATACATAAATTACGAAGACAATTATTTACAAGCTAATTTATTTCTGTGGTCCATTTATTCTCTATAACAATCTTTTATTGCCCCTCAAAGGAATTGTCTACCTTTCCCATCTCCTCCTTCCCCTATGAAAAAAGTTACATAACCTGTACCCCTTTGGGGACTGGGGTAATGACTTTGTAATTCTCCCTCGTGCACATTATTAAATTTCTCCCATTATCCTGCCTTTTGTCAGTTGGTTATCTGTGAAACTTCCCTTAGCCCCTACAGTATTTACCTCTTTGAGCTACTATAAGAATTAATAGAGGCCAGGCTCAGTGACCTGCCTGTAGTCCCAGCTACTCTGGAGGCTGATGTGGGAGGATTGCATGAGTCCAGGAGTGGGATGATTGTGCAAGCTCAGGAGTCACAGATTAGCCTGGGCAACATCACAAGACCTTCATCTAAAAAAAAAAAAAATTAATAAAAAAAAAATGGAGATAATGTACATAAAATATCAAGCAGAAAGCCAACCTCTATTTAATATAATTTTTTGTTTATAACTAATTTACAAATATTTTGTTTATATTATACTTTAAATACGTTAATACATCATAAATTAATCTAATTATGTATAACGCATTAAGTAGTTAATTTAAATAACAAATATTTATTTTTAGCGCTTATTGTCAATGTCGGGGCTCAGAAACCAATACCCCAAACTACGGCATGGTGACTAGCTGAACTGCAGAAGCCTCAAACTCTCTTAGACCTTCTCCCCCTCCCCAACCTTTATCTGCCTATTATCCAGACTCACCAAAAATGAATCCCTGTAAGATGAATGTAATCACACCTGAAGAGCTCATTTCACAAGATAAGGTAGAAATTTAATTTCTTTTCCCTGATCCATTCATTCTTCCTAGTAATCCTCTCAAATGAATTCCTCTTCTCCCTCCCTCAAACTGTTTTTCTAGGATGGTGTATAAACTTCTGAACCACATTCTGGGGTGGGCAATCACTCTGATTCTCCCCATGCACATTGTAAATTTGTCTGCTTTTTTTTCTATTAATCTGCCTCATGTCCGATTTTTCACCTTCAGAGGGCACCAAATCAGTAAGGACATTAATTTAATTCAATATTTCACAGATGATATGATACCATAAAGTGATAAGGCACTATAAATCTTCCTAATTGCTCTTTGCCCCTTGGATCCCTCTGATCTTAAGATTGCCTCCTCTAGTTTACTTACTTTGAAGCTACACATTTAACAGCTCCTCCATTTTTCTTTACATGTGTATGTAGAATTATAAACAATGATATATCACACTTGTATATTTTATTTTACTTAATACATAAGTTTGCATTTGTCAGTGTTTTGATTATGAGTACATTGAGTTTGCATAAATAACACCAAAAATTATAATAATTATAAAGCAAAAGTTACTTTACAAGCTGTTTAGCTTAAAGAATTTTACTTCTGGAACTCAGGAACTCTGAAAATTATTACTTAGCTAGCTTTCATGATTAGATAGTGGTTCTTGGGAGAAATAGAAACAATGGAATAATTTTATCATCAACTTCAATGATCATGACAGCATATTTTATTTAAAAACTTATTTTAATTTCAAAAATCTTATAGGCGTTCTATGGAGCCATATCATTTACTTTATATTGATGGTTGTAACAGAAACAGTTATTGAAAATTTATACACACAAATAACGCAGATGACATTTTAAAACGGAACGAATGAATTAATTCATTGAAATCAGGATGGAGTCCTCAACATCAAATAATCGTAACTTTTTTTTAAAAAGTAATGTTTATGACAGTTGTGTTTGCTGTTTTATTCCAAGAAATATTAGTTGCATGCGATTGCAATGAAGACAAATCTAGGAAATAAAAATGTGTGCAGAGACTCAAAAATTAATGTATTTCAATGGACTAGAGATCCTGTAGAAATTCGTTTTCATTAACATGTCTTTATGAGGAAAAAAGTAGCTTATATAAGTTTAGGTGGAGAGGAATAGAAGGCCCTCTCTAGCTAGGAGGACTTGGTGATCTGAGGAAGAAGGGAGTTATCTTGATGAGAGAAAGGAAGCAGAAAAAACTGACAAGAACAGGGCTATATGACTATGATATAATAAAAAACCTGACTTACAATGTCCATCATTCATACTGTTTTTAAGTAACACGTTCTAGCGTAATCTCACACCCTAACCCCAACCCTTTCCCATCATTTACATAAACAGTCCATTATGACATGTATTCTTTGCCCAAGTCAACTTGAAGCTCCTTTTGGATATAGACGTTATGTATCTGGATTAATATTGTATTCCCATTTAGGAGGGTGCCTGGCACACCATAGGTGCTGGGAAAGATTCAATTGAACTGGAATAGGTAGGCCAAACGCACGTGGGGTCCTAAATTCTGCAGAAGGGTCAGATACCCAAATTCTGCTTCCATGGTCTTATGAAGTATAAACTAAAAGCCCAAGCAAGGAGCAAAGGTTAGTTTACCAATTTTCTCTCTGGAACCCAGGTACACTGAAAACTATTATTTAGCTAGCTTTCAGTCCTCTGAAATACAGAAAGTAAGTATCTGACACTAGGTTCATGTGAAACACTCTTGCTCTGTCACACAAGCTGGACTGCAGTGGTGCAATCGTAGCTCATTGCAGCCTCGAACTCCTGGGCTCAAGTGATCCTTCTGGTCTCAGCCTCCCGAGTAGCTAGGACTACAGGCTATGAGACACCAGGCACAGTCAGTTATTCTACTTTTGTAAAGATCAGGCTGACTTCGGACACCAAAGCTCTAGCCGTCCTTCCGCCTCGGCTTCCCAAAGTGGTTGTGTTACCGGATGGTGCCAAGCAGTTCCAGGCTCTTGGTGCCAGGAGCAAACTAGTCGACACACACACAGATAGCAAAGCAAAGCAGCAAAAGTTTATTAAGCAGAGTATTACACTCTCGGCGGGGGAGAGCGCATTGACCTCTGCGAGATGAGATCAGCATCAGCTTGTTGCAGTTTAAGTCTTTTTATGTGTGTGCGTGTGTTTTTCTCTTCCCAGTGCCACCTAATCTATAGCCAGTATCTGCCCTTTTATTGATAGGTTTGTTGCTTACTTTGGCCTCTGTGGCTTGTGCATCACCTCTATCTCATAATCTTAAATACATGCAAGATATGCAGCCCATATGCATGAACCTTAAGTAGCTGATTATCATATGGGCTTTTGTTAAGGATACTTTTTCCTCCCTAATACGCATGCCCATCTCTGAAGAGCTGCCTTTTACTGGTTTGTTCCAGAACTTGCCGGCCACGAGGTCCTTGCTCACATTATCTCACCTTTGTTTCGGCTGCAAAAGGTTCACTGCTTGTTATCTCGCTTCTTGTTCACCCGCCCGTCCACCTTAGTTCTGCCCTTTGCTTTTACTTATTCAGCCCTCTAACCAACTTCCAGCTCCCTTTGTTATTCTCTTGCCCCACTTTTCCTATTGTTTTCAGCTGTATTGCGGGCGCGAGCTGCCGCGCCTAAATTTCTTGATGTGCCGCGAATATTTCAGTGTCTACTTTCTATCTCAAAACAATGTGGTGTAAAAGCCCTTTGGTTTTGCTTCATCTCTATACAGCATTTCAGTGCCATTGCAAGATGACTCGACATCGGATAAAACTGTGGAACACAGCTCTACTTGGTGAAAAAGTAGGTGGCTCTGAAAAGAACCTTTTTGGTTTGGACCGAGGTATGAGTAATGCACTACTCCAGACCCACTACTTGCTCTTGGCCTTGTGGTGGCTCTCAGTTTTCTTAGGCAGCAGCACGGCCTGGATGTTGGGCAGAACACCACCCTGGGCGATGGTCACTTTACCAAGCAGCTTGTTGAGCTCCTCGTCGTTGCGGATGGCCAGCTGCAGGTGGCGCGGGATGATGCGGGTTTTCTTGTTGTCTCGGGCCGCGTTCCCAGCCAGCTCCAGGATCTCGGCGGTCAGGTACTCCAGCACCGCCGCCAGGTACACAGGCGCGCCGGCACCTACCCGCTCGGCATAGTTGCCATTGCGGAGCAGTCGGTGCACTCGGCCCACGGGGAACTGAAGACCCGCCCTAGAAGAGCGGGTCTTAGCTTTGGCGCGAGTTTTGCCGCCCTGCTTGCCACGTCCCGACATGACAAATATGCTCAATCAGCAGCGTGCCTGAGACTGACGCAACACTAAGGCTCGGCTACTTATAGTCAATACAGGCACGAAAACTAAGCTATGCTATTGGCTAACATTACAGTTTCGCTTTAACCAATGGGATTGCGGTTTTGAAAAACACTTATTTTGATTGGACAAAGTTAATATACGTTTCCAGGACTCACCACTAGTTAAACGCACACCTTCATTGTCCGCTCCATTTGCGTTAAGAAGCAGGGAATAAGCGATAGGTAGATAGTGCTACCGACTTTCTTCCCTTTTTTTCTCTAATTTTCTGGCAGTTATTACCAGCCATGCCTGAACCCTCAAAGTCTGCTCCCGCCCCAAAGAAAGGCTCCAAGAAGGCGGTGACAAAGGCCCAGAAGAAGGACGGCAAGAAGCGCAAGCGCAGCCGCAAGGAGAGCTACTCCGTGTACGTGTACAAGGTGCTGAAGCAGGTCCACCCCGACACCGGCATCTCGTCCAAGGCCATGGGAATCATGAATTCCTTCGTCAATGACATCTTCGAGCGCATCGCGGGTGAGGCTTCCCGCCTGGCGCATTACAACAAGCGCTCGACCATCACCTCCAGGGAGATCCAGACGGCTGTGCGCCTGCTGCTCCCCGGGGAGCTGGCCAAGCACGCGGTATCGGAGGGCACCAAGGCCGTCACCAAGTACACCAGCTCCAAGTGAGCCCGCCCACCGCGGAACGTTCGGTCAGTCTCGGCCCACACCCCAAAGGCTCTTTTCAGAGCCACTCAGTCTTCCCAAAGAGAGCTGGCACTCACTTTTCTTACAGCAGATATTTGTTACTCGTTACAATGAAGATTTACAAGATTCCTTACTATCCTTGTTAGAAACTAATTTTGGCTCAAGCCTCTAATCCCAGCACTCTGGGGAGCCGAGGCGGGTGGATCACGTGAGGTTAGGAGTTCAAGACGAGCCTGGCCAACATGGTGAAACCCCGTCTCTACTAAAAATACAAAAAAATTAGCTGGGCGTGGTGGCGGACGCCTGTAATCTCAGCTACTCGGGAAGCTGAGGCAGGAGAATCGCTTGAACCCGGGAGACTGAGGTTGCAGTGAGCCGAGATCGGGCCATTGCACTCCAGCCTGGGCAATAAGAGCGAAACTCTGTCTCAAAAAAGAAAGAAAAAATTAATTAGCACTGCAATGTACTGCATGTTGCAGCAACGCTTGAGACAATTTTTTATCTGAAGAAGGATCAGGTTTATCATCAGACAAACGTAGTAAAGGGAAAATTCAATTCCTGTTGACCACAAATAAAATACAATATTTAAGTGTCAACTGGTAAAATATCCATAGTGTTTCCGGCGCTCTGTCCCTAAACTTCATGTGTACTTTAGTAATGAAGCAGTTGGCACACACAGAAACGTACAAATCGACTAAACTTGTTTGTTTTGAGAGTGGTGCTGTTTCTCCTCCCTTGTTCCCAGTTTGAGTTTGCTAAATATTAAGATAGAAAGGCAGCAGAAAAAAGTTTGAACCCAGTTTACAGCATAGTACACGTCAATCGGGCCGAGTTGATGTCGATGGCCAATCCGGACGCTGCGCGGGCAGTTTGAAACTTGACCACCGTTTTCTCTGGTGAGTGTTCTAATTGGGAAAATTCTTGGCAGTGCGGGTTTTTTGGAGGACTCTTGCCGTTTTACTCATTCCCATATTTCTCTTGTGTGGATCCTGTTTATGAACATAGTTTCTATTCCCTACCTTTTTTGTTAGGATCTGCTCCATGTTTTCTTATCTGTGTCACTTGCATTTACTGTATCTCTATTAATTGGAATAAATTTTAAAAGAAAAAAAAATAGAGGAGGAGAAGGGCTGTTCTTCATTGTTTTCCCCCACCCCCAACTGAGGAAATCAGAATAAGTGTCTTCATTTTAAACACTTAGGAGTGGCATATTTAAAAGTATTTTGGTCTTTGCCAAGAATCAGTGTGGGAACTCTTCCACATCGAATTGTATTTGCTGAAGATTTTTGATAGTATTTTTTATCCAGTAAGTGTACTCCAGTGACCCAACTGTTTGACTCCTAGATGTTTACATGAGAGAATATTTTGCACACATGCAACAGGAGACATATGAGAATGGAAAATATGCTATTTTTAATAGATAAAAATACTAGAGACAATTACATGTTCATGGTCAAAATAATGCATTTATTGAGGTACACACAGTAGTACCTGGTTGAATTTTAGAAACATAAGTCTCAGAAGGTTCATATATAATAACATTTTTTAAAACTCAAAAGTAAAACCATGGCTGGGCAGGTCCTCATGCCTGTAATCCTAGCACTTTGGGAATGCTGAGATGGGAGGATTGCTTAAGCTCAGGAGTTTGAGACCAGCCTGGACAACATGGCGAGACCCTATCTCTTAAAAAAAAAAACACACAAAACAAAACAGTAAAATGAAAATAAAACCAAATTATACATTGTTGAAGTATATATAGAAGCACTTATACAGAATAAGTATACATAAGTGTGTGATAATGAAAACTTTTAAGAGAGAGTTTTAAAAATACCTGGCAGTGGCTATCTTAGTGATAAAGGCAAGACATGGGATGGGGAAACACACAGAGGTAAATACAAGTTGTTACCAATATTCCAGTTTTGGGTTAGATGTTTTATCATGGGTTTTGATATAATTTGATTTAAACTTTATATATATATATATATGTGTGTGTGTGTGTGTATATATATATATTTTTTAGATAGTGTCTTACCATGTCACCCAGGCTGGAGTGCAATGGCACAATCTCGGCTCTCTACAACCCTCACCTCCCGGGTTTAAGCGATTCTCCTGCCTCAGCCTCCCTAGTAGCTGGGTTTACAGGAGCCGGCCACCACACCCAGCTGATTTTTTGTATCTTTAGTAGAGTTGGGGTTTCACCATGATGGCCAGGCTGGTCTCGAACTCCTGACCTCATGATCCACCCGCCTCGGCCTCCCAAAGTGCTGGGATTACAGGCATGAGCTACTATGCCCAGCCTGATTTACATTTTAAATATATGTTACATATATTAAATTTACGTGTCAAATACTATACTGGAAAATATAATAGGAAAAAACTCCTAGTGTAAAAACAAGTTACAAGCATCACATAGTTTGTCATAAAGGAAAATTTATAGATGAGAAACTCAAACCTAATAGTGTTTCCATAAATATTATTCATTTTCTAAATATTGTTCATTGCTCCTCCTCTCTTAAGGAGGAGAAAAAGAAGACTCACGGAGGACATTAAGAAGGTGGATGGATTCCGAAAGCTCAAGATTTTGGCTAAAATTAAGAGTCAGCAACCAATCTCCAGGTACCCTTGCTTCTCAATCTGTAGACTAAAGACCCTAGACCAAAAATCCTGATTCCTAGGAAGTGCTTGGAGGACCTTGATGGTGCTTCATTATAGTTGATTTCTTCACATTATTTGATGTATTGAATCTGCATTTGGCACAGAATTGATACAATTCAGACTTCATGAAATCCATTTAATTAAATGTTCTTTCTCTCTGCTTCTCCATCTATCTAAATCCTAACTTATCTTCCAAAGTTCACACAAGTCTCACTCTCTGAAGCCCTCTCTATTAGAACCTAGCTGAGCTCTGTCTTCCTTCAGCTCCTCTAAACTCTTATAAATCTCTACTTAACTTCCCGCAAAATCTTTATAACATCTCTCTGGAGGCTGTGTGTGTGTATGTATATGTGTATTTTGTATATATGTTATGTATGTGTATGTGTGTATACTCCTCTCTCTGTTAGAACAGAGATTATACTCTTTTCATTTATGTATCTTCTCTCCTCCCACCATTTCACACCAAAATACTTGAGGACAGTAAGTTCATCATACATTTGAGTTTTTTCATCACAACTTTTCATAGCACAGGTGCCGTTGAGCCTCTCCATTAATACAGATAATCAGCAGGAAATTCTGCTGTTGGTTTGTTTTATGGAATGGAGAAATCTGTAGTTAAAATCCAGAAGAGAAAGTGAGAAGGGGATGTAGAAGGATTAAGTTACCTAAACACATTCTCCAGGCCAGAATAAAGAATAGTGAAGTAACTCCTTATTAAACATACAGAGAATATAGATAGATGTCTATATTTCTGCATCTGTATGTCTATATGTAAGTTTGGGCCATCAGGGACTACTTGAATAACTTGGAATTGTCAGCAGGGAAGAAGATGTCTAGAAGAATATTGTGTGTGGGGTGGCTAAAATCTATGTGGAGAATGGAGAGAAGCATTAAGAAAAAAATTGAACACTTCTTTACAAAGTTCACATATCAGGCCCATTGCTCTCAGTTATTAAGAAGGTTAAAATTTCTAAAACAGAGAGAGAAAGAGAAATAAGGACTCAAAGATAGATCTTTTAAGTTATTTGCACCTCGTAGCCAAGCATGGTACCCTCTGTTGCTGAAACAATCTTGATTAATTTATGACATTACTAATCAGCCTTGGGGAATTGATTAGAGCTAATCCAAACCAGCATGTCACGTTAGTGCTTTACACTGGAACTTTTATATGGTAGCTGCAAGAAAGCACATGATTCATGTTTTGCCCCAAATAACTTTTTTTTTTTGTGTGTGTGTGTGTATATACACACACACACACACACACACACATATATATATATATATATTTTTTTTTTTCCTGAAAACAATTTATAGGGCAAAAAGGAACAGATTGGAACATAGAATTATATGAGAGAATCTGGTCCTAAAGGACTTTTTTTTCTTTTTTTACAGCTATGTCTTGAAAAAACAACTATTTACCTGAATAAATGGTCTTTGGCCAGATTAGAAAAATTTATATTTTCCTCATTGGAAACAGAGCACTCCCTTCCATGGAGATTGCAAGAAACATACTAACAAAGCCTAATTCTTTTTCACTCATTTCTAAATTTCATGCAGTCTGCCATTCTTCAGTTATGACATAGTATTGGACATGCTCCTTTTTTATTTTGTTTTTGTTTTTTTGTTTGTTTATTTCATTACAGCAAACATTGCCTGATAAAGGGCATGTTAAATTAATGTGATCACAACTTATCTGAGGTCCATTTCCTGTTACTTGATGTGGAAAAACATTGTGTGAATTTCATCATCCATCCATTTCCAAACCATCTCAAATATCTGTTACTTCTGCAGATGGTCAATTTATTCATTTCCCAATTCCTTTTAACTTGTATTTCAGAGCCTCTCCTTTTCTGATACTGTCACCAAATCATAAAGGTTAGGAGACTGCATGAGGTAAAGCAGATGCGTGGTACTAAAAAACAGGAGAAAATTTTTCCACACTTGAATAATGATAAAAATGTCTGTCCAGGTGCAGTGGCTCATGCCTGTAATTCCAGCACTGTGGGAGGCTGAGGTGGGTGGATCGCCTGACGTCAGGAGTTCAAGACCAGCCTGGCCAACATGGTGAAACCCCATCTCTACGAAAAATACAAAAATTAGCCAGGCATGGTGGTGTGCACCTGTAATCCCAGGTACTCGGGAGGCTGAGGCAGGAGAATCGCTTGAACCCACAAGGCAGATGTTACAGTGAGCCAAGATTGTGCCACTGCACTCCAGCCTGGGTGACAGAGCACGATTCCATCTCAGAAGAAAAAAAAATTTTTTCTATTAATTTCCAGAGTTGAACACGCACACAAGTATCTCTAGGGGGTTGGTAAATGTGAGTGATGAAACTTAACAAGGTTTTATTGAGGGTCAGAGAATGCAAAGAACAATGGGGATAGACTGTGAGAACAAATAACTTTATCCCCTGACAGTAAGAATTCCCACCTATATAAGGAAAAATAAAAGTGCCTCAGCCATAGTTCTTTAGTTATACTAGAGAAAAGGAATTATTTTTGATGGAGAAATTAAGAAACGCTGTAAGAAAACACTGGGATTCTAAGAGTATTAATTTGGGAAGAGCCTTAAAATCCCAAGGCACAAGGGCAGCAACTCAGGCTTTGAAATCATATAGTCAGGTCCTGGTACAACCATTTGGAGTAGCAGTGAGGGTTGTGACCTGTATTTATTGACCTTCTGTGAGGTTGGTGCTTGTGTAGCTCATTAAACAGGGCTTACAAATGAGAATTTATAAAAAGCAGTGGTTCTCACACCTGTCAGGCCTAGGCTCCCTTTTTATGTCTAATACTTTTATGGTCCTTTTTACAGCCTAAAATTAAATTCTTAGGTAATACTATTTAACTTAATTATTCAAAAATTGCTAAAGCACCTTAATATGATATAAAAGCTAAATAAAGGATGGTATTTTAATAATAAAGATAATAAAGTATCTTTAATAATAAAGATACTTTCAACCTATAAATGCTTGGGCCCTATACTAGAAAACAAAATGAAGTAGTTGGATGTTTTAACTCTGTATGAACTATCCCGAATGCAACAAGGACCAAACCAACTGACTTAGGTAACTCAAATACCACAAGGGACATTACTCTCAGCAATGTGATTTTTTCTTTTTGAAAAGACCAATAATGCTGAGTGACATTTGAATACAACAAAATACAGTCTTCTCTTAATTTGTAAAGTGATTGCATTCTTGGAAAATTCAGTGCACATTAAATTATGCACACACATAAGCATTGCATGCTTATGTGTAAAAGGAATTCTGTTTTAGCCTCAAATAATCAGGTTTTTCACCTTCAGATTGATTTTGAGATACCTGGAAGTCATGCATGAGTTGAGACTTCTTCACAGGACATCTAGCATCCCTGGTCCTTCCCTAAATGTCAGTACTGTGCCCTCTCCCAATCACCAGGACATCAAAACAACAACAACAACAACAACAAAAACCCAACTTACTTAATTTCCAGAATGCTCCCTAAGAACCATCACTGTTCTATGAGAACAATCACATTAATTACTTTCATTGCAGAAACTACATAGAGGACATGTCAAAGCTGAGAGTGGCTGGAGGGCTTCTAATAATGCCAGAATGTCCCCCAGAAATAGTCTGCAGTGCTGATAGTCAGTTGCAGAAGAAAAATACTTGAGGCATCTGCCCTAGGTAGGCCAATTTGTCCATGCGCCTGGTTGGGTATCTCTAAACTTCTTTTCTTCCCTCTAGAGGTTACCTGTGGACATGTGAATAAGCAGAGGGTCTTATTACTGAGAAGAGGTAGACAGCCTGTGATGGCAAAGGGTCATCAACTTGGAAGTCCTCCCCATTTGCTATTGCTCAGGCCAGTTTATTAAAATTCTGCTTCTGTAGGTATAGCACTCCATTGGCTTTGAACTAAGGCAGCAGCCATCAGATTCACATTCAGCTTTAGCCTGATAAACAAAAAAGCAGAGAAAGCTAATTAAAATGTAAGTAGTTGGCCACTTCTGTGGGGTCCACTGTGATACCAGAGCTCCTGTATACATCCTAGACCTTAAGAACACATGGAAACTCAACTGTTCTAAAAATATAATACAGAACCATGCTGATCCCAAAGAAGGAATGAGTTCCCCACAACCCCCTTCTAGGTAGGGCTTTGCAACAGGTGCCTCACTGCAGATGTCTCAATAGCTTCTCTCATCTGGCCACCAGCAGTACTTCCTTTTTTTTTTTTTTTTTTTTTTTTTTTTTGAGACGGAGTCTCGCTGTGCTCCCAGGCTGGAGTGCAGTGGCGTGATCTCGGCTCACTGCAAGCTCCGCCTCCCGGGTTCACGCCATTCTCCCGCCTCAGCCTCCCAAGTAGCTGAGACTACAGGCGCCCGCCACCACGCCCAGCTAGTTTTTTTTGTATTTTTAGTAGAGACGGGGTTTCACCATGTTAGCCAGGATAGTCTCGATCTCCTGACCTCGTGATCCACCCACCTCGGCCTCCCAAAGTGCTGGGATTACAGGCTTGAGCCACCGCGCCCGGCCAATACTTCTTAAACAGATATGTCTTCACTGTGTTAAATCAGTCAGAGAGATGTTGATGAATTCCCCTTCTTGGAACTTTATTGCTAGACGTGGAGCAAGAACATGTTCTGGGAAAGATAAGGCATATTGCAACTGCTTATTCTGAGACAGATTCTCCAAATCTCATAATTTGCTTTCTGGTCTTGTGTCCTTTTTACTGACATGTTGTGCCAGACTAGAAGGAAAGGAATGAAAATAAATGTGGGTTTAGGGGAAGAGGAGGCATGGAGGAAGGCCTATGTAGGTCAATTTGTCCATGTGCCTGGTTGGGTATTTCTAAACTTCTTTTCTTGCCCTCTAGAGCTGTGGGCATGTGCATAAGCAGAGGGTCTTAATGCTAAGAAGAGGTGGACAACCTGTGATGGCAAAGGGTCATTAACTCGGAAATCCTCCCCATTGATTATCATTGAAT